ATTTTCCTGCTCTTCCTCCACCTTGTGCCATTTTGTTGACTTGCTAGCACCATTTTGCCCTCTCCCTTTATCCTGCTACTGCCGGCACATGCACACAGTCACGGCACTCTCCAGGGGCCTCGCTAATGCCAGTGGATGTGCCCCACCCCTGCATTCTCCAAGTGCCTTATTAAAGCTGGTGGACATGCAGACACACAAAAAAAATAAAAAAGGGTAGAGGATCTGCATAAATATTTTTCCAAAGAAGACATACCGATGGCCAACAGGCACATGGAAATATACTCAACATTACTAGTCATCAGGGAAATGCAAATCAGTACCACAATGAGATATCACCTATCTGTTAAGATAGTTATAATCAAAAAGACAAGAAATAACAAGTGTTGGCAAGAATGTGGTGAAAAGGGAACCCTTTTGCACTGTTGGTATGACAGTAAATGGTGCAACTACTATGGAAAATGGTATGGAGGTTCCTCAAAAAATTAAAAACAGAACTACTGTATGATCCAGCAATTCCACTTCTGGGTATTTACCCAGAGAAAACGGGAACACTAATTCGAAATGATATGTGTACCCCTATGTTCACTGCAGCACTGTTTATGATAGCCAAGATATGGAAACAACCTAAGTATCCATCAATGGGTGAATGGATAAAGAAGATGTAGCTAAATAGATAATGGAATACCACTCAGCCATACAAAAAGAATGAAATCTTGCCATTCGCAACAACATTAATGGAATTGAGGGTATTATGCTAAGTGAAATAAATCAGATAGAGAAAGACAAATACCATATAATTTCACTTATATGTGGAATCTGAAAAAACAAAACATACTAACAAACAAAGGAAAACCAAACTAATAGATACAGAGAATAGATTGGTAGTTAACCAGTGGGGAGGAATTTGGTGGGGGCGGGGGGCAAAAGAGGTGAAGAGGGTCGAAGGGTACAATCTTCCAGTTATAAAATAAGTGCTCAGGTCATGATGCATTGTGACCATAGTCAGTGATACTGAAAGTTGCTAAGACAATAAATCTTAAAAAGTTGTCCTCAAAAGAAGAAAAAAGATTTTATACCTTTGGACACAAATGGTAACTATACTTGCTGTAGTGATCATTTGGCAATGTATATAAATATCAAATCATTTTGTTGTACACTCAAAACTACTATAATGCTGTAAATCAATTATACCTTAGTTAAAATTATTTTTAAGTCTGTTTTACATTTCTTCTAGTATCTTTCCAATTCTCATCTGCACTCATCATTTTTACAATAAAAGAGATGTTTCTGATGATAATTTATTGTGTGAAATGACCTTGTCTTGTGATCATAGCAATATGTTCCAGGTTATATCTGGAATTGTTTACCTAGATTTTACATATCAGTAGGTCTGGTTTTCAAACACAAGAGTGTGAAAAATAGTTTAAGGCGTTGGTCATGATAACAGAAAGAACAAAAGGGATAATGAGAAACACATTCTGCAAATAGGTGGCCATGAAAGCTATTTCCGTTTTTAAGAGTAACAGCTTACACTTGGCAGAGAGGAACTGGGAAGATCCACAAGTCTTTGTCCTTTCAGTTTCATTAAAATATGAAAGAACTCTATTAATAATAGACCCATGTAGCTTCTGGAACCTTAACTTACTGTTGTCTTCACCATGTGAATCATCATATTGTGGGCATCTGCTGTTACTGACTTGAGCTTTCCCAAACTCCTGCCTCTTTTTCTATTACGCTTTTTCCTTTACTTGCCAATTCCATTTTGTATTAAATGTTTTCATCACAGACCCTAAGTGAATTTAGAAATTAGTGTTACTATAATTTTTCTGTACTTATTGACTCTGGAACTTTTTAAAGTTGATTTAAAGAGGAAAATGTGGAATTAAAAGATAAAGACAGAATATAAGAGGGAAAGTGGGAATGATGAGGAGAAGCAGACCAATAATAATAAAAACAACAACAACAAAGAAGCTGAAAAGACCTCAAAATGATAATTCCCATAGAAGTTTGGGGGAAGAGGAAATTTATAGATATGCTTTTCTTATAAAGCTTTTGAATAGTTCTCTACTTTTCATTTGGGGTGTATAGGTTTCATTTTTCAGATTATGGTAAAATATTCCAATTAAATGACAACTTGTCTAATAGCTCTCTTTAATATTTATTTTCTTTTTAAGGAAAGAAGACAGTGGTAATTTAGGTCTTAGCTGGTGATAGCTGGAATGGGACACCTTAATTTTTTTATTTCTTACCATAAGACTTTTATGAACCTGAATAATAAATTTGGTTATGACTTACTTAAAAATTTCTTAGCCTGATAAGTACGATTTCCTTCATTTTTGGGTTTCGACAAAGGTCTTTCACAACAGATCAGTGACAGAAACAATTAGAATTCAGGAATTTTGATTCATACATGACATACCTTATTGGATTAAACCAAAAATTTTCCAGCCCAATATCTGGTCTCAAAGCAATTTTGCAGGCATTCATGGTTACTGTCCAAAATAGCAGCTCCGAGAGTTAGGTATATACTACAAGCAACCTCCTCTCATTAAGTTCTGGTGGTTTTACTGTTTCTCAAACTTACATACTTTCATCTTCTGCTTTTATCAGAGACTAAAGTCCATCTTAGTTGCAGAAGTGTCTCTATTACTTTGAAATAGTTCTAGTCCTAATTTAGCAGAAAGGAAATCAGAAGAGCTGGGTTTTAGTCCCGGGTTTGCCCATAATTAATTATATTACTTATGTTAAGAAATTTCACATTTTTGGAACTCATTTTATTCTCGTATAATAAGTAAATAGTAAATAGCTCTGAAGTATTTTCTTATTCTAAAAGAATGTGATAATGTGATAGAATTCATGATCCTCCTTTTGTTTGCTGCCTCCATCTTCTATATGATTTTGTAAAGGCCTATCCAGCCAGAGCAGCCCCACCCCGGTTGAACTGCCATTTTGTTGTAAAAGTTAAATTGACTCTGCTCCCCCCGCCCTCCGGGAACTTACTTAAAAACAAGTCCCGGAAACCAGCCCCAGGTAACAAAGCCCAAATACAAGGGTGGGTCAGGCCAGGTGGAGACATCCGATCAGTGGGGGGGCCCCGCATGCTGTCTCCCTAGTTACCAAGGAGTGTGGGCCCTGCCTTTTGGGCGCCAATTCTGACCAAGGTGATAGGCTGGTTCAAATGTCTCCTAGGGTAAATTGTAATTCAGTTGGTCACTTATGTGTGACCTAGCAGGACTGTGCAGCTTTCTCTGTGTGTTACAACTTCATTGGCCACCTGTGCGTAGCCAGGCCCAACCACATGGCCTTTGCTCTATAAAAGCTAGTCTGTGAAACAGAGAGGGATCGCCGTCTCTGTAAAAGGTGCGGCCCCAAACGTTGGGTTTCATTCTTGATGCTTGGTGTGAAATAAAGCTTTGCTTGACCTTCGCTTTGTATCAGTCTCGCTCCTTTAATCACGGACCCATTATTGGGGGAACCCAACAATTTCATAGATCTGGCCATATGTTTTCTAATTTCTGTCTTCTTAGATAGTAAAATAACTAACTGCCACATTCTTCCTTCCGCCAACTTTAAAAGTATTTTCTGAGTTTCTTTGGTCATGAAAATTGCATCTCTTTCATCGTTCTCTATTGATGTCTTTCTTAAGATAGAGTTGATGAGAACAGCAACAAGTATTGAAGGTGTGAGCAGATGTGCCAGGATATTATATATATGCAAGACCATATTTTCTGTTTTATTTCCATTACCTTTTTTTTCTGTTACTTTTTTAATGCCAGTATTTCCTGGACTTTTTAGCCATATCATTTCAAAATATCTTTCAGGCCAACCCTTTGCCTCTGGACTAGACTATTCTTAAGCTCTTTACTATTCAGTATCTTCTGGGACAGAGATTTCACACCCTGTCTCTCACCTTCAGGAAGTTCTGGTGGCTAACATAAATCTTGCTTTCTGCAATTTAAATTGAATTTATTTCCTTTTTCTTTTCACTGTGGAGATGGGAACAGCCCCAAACTAAAAGTGATGCTTTCTTCTGAGGGCCAGTGCTGAATATAGAGGAAAGATTATTCCCAGTCTGGCATCAATTTTAGCTTTTATATATTAAAGCTTCCTGACTTTCATTTCAATATTCATGGTCTCAGGAGATGCTATTCTTTATAGCCCAAATGAAATAATAGTTACATATCCAATATTAATGTTTATTATGTCTTTTGCTAACTAGAACCCAAATGAGGTACTAAAATAAAAAATGAGTTCTCAAAAGCATTGGAGGACTTTAGCAGATTTGTGTTTTTCTTGGTATAACTATAGTCGTGGGACTGGGTTTTTGCCTATGGTTTATAGATTTTATCTCATTTTATTAGTCTTACTGTATACATGTTTAATTCATCCATATCTTCCTCATAAGTGATGAGAATAGAAATTTGTTCTTTAACATGGGCTGTCTTGAAGCAGAGTTTAATATGTGTAGTCAAAAAGCTTTTGATATCTAGGCTAAGAATTGTGTGAGGTATCGTAAAGAAAAAAGAAAACACATTTTCTGCCATCGAGGGGCCTGTATTCTTACTGGGGGGAAATATTATAAAACTTGCAATGATAGAACCGTTATAAAATAATATATGATGGTGTATATAAAATAAGGTTGTTTGTTTTTTTTTAAGATTATTTATTTATTTATTTGACAGACAGAGATCACAAGTAGGCAGAGAGGCAGGCAGAGAGAGAGAGAGAGAGAGGAGGAAGCAGGTCTTCTGGCTGAGCAGAGAGCCCGATGTGGGGCTCAATCCCAGGACCCTGGGATCATGACCGGAGCCGAAGGCAGAGACTTTAACCCACTGAGCCACCCAGGTGCCCCTAAAATAAGATGTTTAATGTGAATTTTATTTTGCATTTAATATTAATACAGAAAATACCTTATACTATGCAGATCTGTTCTGTTAGCTAAGGTACCCTAAAATGTTTAACAATTATTTCATTCTGATTTCTGTTTTTTCACTTTAAAGGTTCAGCAGTTTTCTGAAAAAGCCTTCCTCTTACAGCTTTGGAAAATTCATGAAAATGCCTTAGAAAGACAATGTAGTGAAATTACAAACCAGAGGAATATGCTTCTCGAAACCTTTGTAAGTCTCCAGCTCCTTAGAAATATCTATTTCCACTAACTGTATTGAAAAGTATTTAAATATACTTAGATGTACTTTTAGAAAATTATATGTATGCATATTGGAAGATAGTCCTGTTCAGATACGGAAAAGTATTAAATGCTACTTAAAACCAGTTGGTAGAGTAATATAGTTTGAAAGAATTGTATTAGAAGATATGCAATATAGAAATTATTTGCAATTGTAATAAGCATAGAAAAACCCAGTGAAACTGACTTGAATTGCTCAGGCTTTCAGACCTTGGTTTTAATGCTTTTGAAAGGCAGAGAGGTTCACACTTTAGGCATATTTATGGATCTTGGTGAGATGGATTTTCTTTATTTTATTTTTTATCTTAACTCAGGACCAGCAGACTCAGTTTTAAATGACAGGGCCAGTTTAAGAATGTTATTTACAATTAATTGACAGTTCAAAGAAAATACATTTAAAAATTCTAAGAATATTTATCTGAAGTCAGAACCAACAGAGTTTGAGCTTATGCATGACATGGCTAGTTCCCCAATGTAGTTCACAATTGGTTGACATTTCTTAGAAAAAATAGAAAAATACAGTAATATTTAGATTCTGTCATGGCACAGAGTTTTTGGAAATTCTTATTTCCTCTTCATGTTGATGTTTCATAAAACATAAACTACTTTGTAGAACTCAATTGGAAATAAATATATAATTTTACTTCATTTGTCTATATTTTAAAAGGTTTCCTTGGATTTCCTCATTTGTTATTTCTCTATAGCAGTAATTCCTTTGAGTGTAGATTTTCATTTTCCTGTTTGGACATTTAATTATTTTACCTAATTTTATATTTCAGTGACAAAATGGCACCTATGCTGCTAAGTTTAATACATAAACAAACACAGATATAATGACAAGTTGTAGGATTTCTATCTCAGTAATACTCCCAAAACATTAAGGATAAAACTTTCATGTGGAAATTGTTGGTTATTAGTAGGCAGTAGCTTCACGTTTTTATTAATATTGCTGGAGGAATAAAACATTTTTGTGATAACACCAGGAAGTATAATCTTATATTTTTGTTGTTAGTAATTCCAAATGATTGCATTTTAAATCACTATAGAAAAATAGTATTACAATTAACATCTATAGTTGATCTTTTGTTTGTTTTTTCAGGGGGCTACAAAGAAAAAGGTGACCGAGGAGGAAGAAAAATTTATTAAGGAAATTGCAGACTTCAATAATGAGTATGAAGTAACAAAGAAAAGAAAGCTTTTGATGAAAGAAAATGCCAAGATTGAAATATCTGCCTTAGAAAACCAGGCAAACATTTTGAAGAGGGGTATGAGTATATAGTGCCACCTCTTTTATGTGTCATTAATGAAAATAACTTATTTTGAGCCAGTGAATTTTCCAGAAATTAAGTTTTTCATAAGTAAATTGGTTATTGCATAGCTATTCTTTTGTCTTTATCTTAATTATCCTAATGGAAATGTATCTTACATTGTGAGTGGTCTCAAGTTCTTTAGAAGTAGATGTGACATGAGCTTTTAGTCATTCACTCAATAAGCAATTATCTATTACTCTCTGTTATGTGATGGTCATTGTTGTGGGTTATGGTGATGTTAAACTAAAATGTGGAGGAATCAAATATGAAGCAGATATTTATAGTACAATATTATAGAAGCTATAATAGGGGTAGGACTGATATGATGATCCTCATTTTACCATCAATATAATTTAAATTGGGAAACAAGGTTACACAGTGGCATGGGGAGAATTTCATTTCAGAAACCCTAGCATGTAGGTTATTGCAATCTGTGATAAGATCCTGAACTAAAGACATTGCCAAAGAGAAGAGAGGGTAAATTAAAGAGATATATAGGCATAATGATAGGACTTTATCACTGATTGAGGTGAACAAAAATAGACAGGTAGGTATGAATTATAGTTTTCATATGTCAGAGATTGGGTAGAATAGGGTACCAGGAGGAAGAGCGGAGGAGAGAAGTATGTTGGAACTATAGCCTATTCTGGACAAAATGACTGAGTTTTGTTTCAGGTCTTTTTAGTTGGAGGTGTCTATGGAATATACCAGGGAAGATTCCCAGGTGGCAGGGGAAAATTTGGTTGTAAAGCTGGTAAGAAAGATTAGAGCTAGACCATTAGGTTTGGGACTGAATCCAGAGGAGTTGGTGACATCATTTAGAGAAAACATATAGAGGGAACATAGATGAGGAGCGAAGACTGAAGCCAGAAACTGGGAAAGCATTACATTTATGGAAAGAAAGAAAAAGAATGGGACAGAGTAGTCAAAGAAGGCAAGAGGAGGTCCAGAGAGTAATATTTTAGAAGCCAAAAGCAAGATATGTATTCCTCAAATTAGTGGAAAACAAAATAGGATATTAATTTGACAATCAGAAGATGTCAAGTGCAGTAGCATAGAGTAGAGCAGTAGAGAAAGACTGGTGGTAATAGATTGAAGTCAATGGGAGTTGAGGAAGTAGAGAATGAAAATATAAATGATATTAAGTGCAAAATTAGTTTTTAATGGAAGCCTTTCTAAAATATATTGTTATTTTGATGACTTTAGTAAATGGAGAATAATAAACACATTTAACTCTTTTACTGACTTGGAGCTCTCAGTATGAATAATTTATTGATTTGCTTTACATATGACAACTACTATTTTAAGTAATATTCGTCAAGCTTATACTATAAAGCAACCGCCATCCTAAAGACTATAAATGCTAATATCATGTAGATTTCATTTAAATCTTAATTTTACCATTTGATACCTGTGTGATTTGGGGCAAGATGCCAAACTTTTCTTTGGCTCGGTTTCCCCATTTGTAAAGATGGGGCTTAGTAGTCATGACCTTAACAAAGGTTGTTGTGAGAATTCAGTGAAATAATACTGAAACACATAGGATGCTGCCTGCCACATAATTAAACCCTCAAAAAATGTGAGGATTATACTTTTTAGACTGATTTTATAGATGAAGGAAATAAAGTTCTGAGAGATAAATTACTTTGGGTAGAGAATATAGGACAGAGGCACACATCTGGAAAGCTTTAAAAAAATATTAAATGCTTGAGTCTCATTCAAGACCTATTGAATCAGAATCTGTGGGAGAGGATAGGGAACTTTTTTTAAATCCATGAGGTGATATTGATGTGTATTTTCAATAACAAGTCAGAATACAAAAGTAATAGATGCATACTTTAAAACTAATTTTCTGCAAAAAAGTCATGGGTATCACCATTTCTTTCGAACATATATTAGAAATTTTAGCCAAATCAATCAGGCAAGAAAAAGAAATAAAAGGCATCTACATTGGAAAGGAAAAAGTAGTCTCTGTGCCCAAATGATAATGCTCTTACATATAAAACACTTAAGGATACCACAAAAAAAAAAAAAAAAAAAAAAACAACCTGCTGGAACTAATAAATAAATACAGCAGAGTTGCAGTATACAAAATCAACACACAAAAATAAGTTGCATTTCTATGTATGAGCAATAAGTGATCTAAAAAGGATCAAAAATTTAAATTCCATTTATAATAGTGTCAAAAAGAATAAAATACTTAAAAATAAATTTAACCAAGTGGTAAAAGACTTGTACATTGAAAACTATATAAAACATTGCTTAAAGAAATTAAAGAAGACCCAAATAAGTGGAAAGACATCCCATGTTCATGGATTGGAAAACTTAGTGTTGTTAAGATGACATTATTACCCAAAATGATGTATAGATTCAAAGTAATCCCTATCAAAATCCCAACAGTGTTTTTTTCATGAATTGAAAAACCATTGTAAAATTCATATAGAATCCCAAAGGGGATCCCAAAGAGCCAAAACTATCCTGGAAAAAAAGAGCAAAGTTGGAAGACTCATACTTCTGATTCCAAAACTTACTAAAATGCCACAGTAATCAAAACTGTGTGGTACTAGAATAAGGATAGACATATAGAAAATCAGGATAGAATAGAGAGCTCAAATATAAACTCTCATGTATGTAGTCAAATGATTTTTTATAACGGTGCCAAGACTATTCAATGGGAAAGGATAGTCTTTTGAAAAAATGGACCTGGGAAAACTGGAAACCACCCTTACCTTACACAATATACAAAAATTAGCTAAAAATGGATGAAAGTCTTAAACTTAAGAAGTAAAACAAGAAAGCTCTTAGAAGAAATCATATAGGAAACACTTCACACTTCATCATATTGGATTTAGAGATGATTTCTTGGATATAAAAAACACAGGCAACAAACAAAAAAATAGATAAATTGTATTTCATTAAGATTAAGATCTTTTGTATGTCAGAGGACACTATCAAGAGAGTAAAAATGGAACTCTCAGAAAGAATGAGTTGTGGTTTTTTATGGAAGAAAATATTTGCAAATCACGTCTTTGATAAGGGATTAATATCCAGGATATTTTTTAAGTAGTTTCTGCACCCAGTTTAGGGCTTGAACTCACAACCCCAAGGTCAAGAGTCATATGCTGTACTGACTCAGCCAGCCAAGTGCTTCTAATGGCCAGAATATAGAAGAACTATAATTCAACATCAAGAAAATAAGCAACTCAATTTAAAAAATGGGCAAAGGATTTGAATAAACATTTCTTCAAAGATATGGCCAATAAGCACACAAAAAGCTGCTGTACATCACTAGCCTTTAGAGAAATGGAAATCAAAACGGCAAAGAGACACTACTTCATACCCATTAGAGTGGCTATTATGAAAAAAAATCCAAAGTTTACACAGCATGGTATTCACAATGTTCAGGATGCAATCCAAAATTACTTGACCTCTGAAGAATCAGTGAAATGTGACCTAGTATCAAATGAAAACCCTGAGGGGCACCTGGGTGGCTCAGTGGGTTAAGCTTCTGCCTTCAGCTCAGGTCATGATCTCAGGGTGCTGGGATAGAGCCCCGCATTGGGCTCTGCTCAGTGGAGAGCCTGCTTCCCCCTCTCTCTCTGTCTGCCTCTCTGCCTACTTGTGATCTCTGTCTGTCAAATAAATAAATAAAATCTTAAAAAAAAAAAAAGAAAACCCTGAGATGCCAAACCCACAGTGATCTAGATATTGGAATTATGAAATACTTTATATCATCTATTATTGAGTTACTCTCAGTGAGTTAAGGAAGATGCACTTGTAATACATGATAGGTAATCTCAGTGGAGAAATAGAAAATGTAAAAAAATATTAGAACTGAAAAATACATTATCTGAAATAAGAATGTCACTGAATAAGTTTAATAACAGAATGGAACTCATAGAAGAGCCAGTGAACATGAAGATAGATCGATAGAAATTGTCCAATCTGAAAAAGAGGGGGAAAATTAAAGCAAAATAAAATGAAACAAAAAAAATTAGAAATTTAGGGACATGTAGGACAATTTTAAAAGGTCTAACATTCAAGTAATTGACGTCTCTGAAGGAAAGGAAAGAGAATTGGCAGAAAATATATTTGAAGAAATCTCAGCAGAAAATTTCCCAAATTTTCTAAAAGACATTAATTTGCAGATTCAAGAAGTTCAGCAAATCCAAATAGGATAAATTCAAAGAAATCCATGCCTAGCCATTTAATAATAGTCAAACTGTTAACAAGTCAAAGAGAAAGAAAAAATCTTGAAAACAGGGAACAATAACTCTAATGACTATGTTCCTGTAACTAGAAATGATAAAGTCAAAAAGACAGTGGAATAACATCTTGGAAGTGTTGAAAGGAAAATTTCCCTCCAAATCCAGTGAAAATATCCTTCAAAAACGAAGTTAAGAAAATATATTTTCAGATAAATTAAAAATTAGGGGAATCCATTGTCATCATGCCCAAAAGACAAGAAATGCTAAAGGAAGTCTTCCAAGTAGAAGCAAAAATAATACCAGAGAGAAACTTGGATCATGTTTAATGAATTAAAATAAACAGAAATGGCGAATATATGGACAATTATAAATACCAGTTTTTTCTCTTAACTTGAAAAGATACATATGATTGTTTAAAGCAAATAATATATTGTCTTTTGGAATTTATAATGTATGCAGAGGCAGTTCGTATACATGCATACCATATGCATCTATGACAGCTATCTCATAAAGGACTGGAAAAGAGAACTGGTAAAGGGATCCATACAGCCCTACATAACTCCCAGAAAACCAGGAATAGAAGGGAACTTCCTCAACCAGATAAAGAACCTCTTTGAAAAGCCTACATCTAATATTACACTTAATGATGAAATAGCAAATACCAGTATCATTTGAAATGGTGACGTATTAAATACTTTACCCACAAAGATTGACAATAAGGCAAGAATGTCCATTCTTATCACTTCCATTCAATATGGCTGTGGATGTCCTAGCCGTTTTAACCATTTCAATGAGAGAAAGTTGTCTCTATTTATAGATTACATGATTGTTTACATAGAAAATTATAAGGAATTTAGAAAACAATTACTAAAATTAATAAGTCAATATGGTAAGGTTATAGGATATAAGGAATATATTTAAAAATCAGTTGAGGGGCACCTGGGTGGCCTAGTTGTTAAGTGTCGGACTCTTGATTTGGGATCAGGTCATGATCTCAGGTCTGCCCAGCATGGAGCTTGCTTAAGATTCTCTCTTTCCCTCTGCCTATTTCCCTCCCTCCAACACTCTCTCTTTCTCTAAAGGAAAAAAAAATCAGTTGAATTCTTATATACTAACAGCAAACAATAGAAAGTGGAATAAAAATACCGTTTAAACAGCATCAAAAAACAAAATAGAAACAAATTTAACAAGAGACATGAGGGACTTCTATACTATAAACTACAGAGCATTGCTGAGAGAAGTTAAGGAAGACCTAAGTAGATAGATTTATCATGTTCATGGATTAGAAAATTCAATTTTGTTAATAGGTCCATTCTCTTCCAATTGATCATGGGTTCAACAGAATCTCGGTAAAAATCCCATGAAGTTTTAGTAAGCCTTGACAAGCTAATTCTAATATTTATATAGAAATGTAAATCACTTAGAACAGCCAAAATTTTTTAAAAGAACAAAATTTGGGGATTTATACTCCCTGATTTCAAGTTTTGCTAAAAAGCTATAGCAATCAAGATAATGTGTCACTGCCTTAAAAATAGGCATATTGGTACCACTGGAAGGAAAGAGAAATAGCCTTATGTAGATAGGGTCAATTGATTGTCAACAAAAGTAGCAAGGCAGTTCAGTGGGGAAAGGAAAGTCTTTTCAGTAAATGGTGCTGGAACAATTGGACATCCATTGCAAAACAATGATTCTTAAATCTTACTTCATACCATATTAAACATTAACTCAGAATGGACCATACATCTAAACATAAAAGCTAACATCATGAAACTCCTAGAAGAATTCTTAGATGGGAAGAAACATGGAAAAAAAAAATACACTGGATTTCAAATAAATTTTAAAAAAGACTATTAAGAAAAAGACAAACCAAAGACTTGAAGAAAATATTTGCAATACATACATCTGCTTGTGTACTGTTACCTAGAATATAATGAACTTTTACAACTTAATAATAAGAAGGCAACAAAACTGATTCTGAAAGGGGAAAAGGATTGAACTTCACAAAAGGGCATATACTGATGATGAATGAACACATGAAAAGATACTCAATATCTTTAGCCATCAGGAAAATACAAATTAAAACCACAGGGTAATATCACTGTACCTACATTTAGTTAAAATTCAAAAGGCTGGTCATATCAAGTGTTGGCAAGTATGGGGAGCATCTGAAATTCATATGGTACTGATGAGAATGTAAAATAAATGGTACAACCACTTTGGAAATTGTTTTTCAGTTTCTTAAACCATTAAACAAACATTTGCCATATGACCCAGCCATTCTACAACTAGATACACCAGAGAAGTGAAGCTTAGATCCACACTAAGTTTTTAGTAAATTTATTCACTGTAGCTAAAAACTGAACATAACTTAAATGTCCATTAAGAGGTAAATGGATAAACAAAATTGCTGTACCCATGCCATGGAATACTCAGAGATAAGAAATAACAGATCTGCTCACAGACAACACGGATGCATCTCAAAAGGATATGGTGATGGAAGGAAGCTGGGCACGGAAGAATACATACTAAATAGAAGGCAAACTGCGTGGGACAACAACCTGATCAGTGGTTGCCAGTGTCAGAATGAATAAATTGCAAAAGGGCAGAGGAAGCTTTGGGGATTTATAGAAGCACAGTTTCTTGATTGTGGTGGTGTTTTCACGAGTGTATGTGAGAGCCAAAACTCACAGAATTGTATGCTGTTAGGTGGATATACTTTATGTAAATTATTCCTCCAAAAAATTGATAAAGAAAAAAGTCCTTGATACCACAAATACTGTAGGAGCCCTCTCTTTTGTGTCCTTTCTTCCAGAAGTATGGATTTATTTTAATAGATTTGCTTCCACAGTACCTGGTATTGTTGGTCTTTGTACTTGCACAAAACGCATCCATCTCTATGTATATTTTAACATTTTTATATGAAACTTTAAACTCTGTAATGGCAGGATTTTGTTTTGTTTAGTGCTCTGTCTCCAATAGTATGAAAGAGATAATTATGAATTGATGACTGTTTCAAAAGAAGTATAAAATGAGGTGAGAATGTAGAGTAAGGGAAGTTACCCTGGACCAGGAGTGAAGGAAGATCTCCCAGAGCAAGTGACCCTCAGACTGAGGTCTGAAGGGTGATAGGAATTAGCCAAATGGCAGATCTGAGTGTCAATATCAGAAAGTTGGATATGTAATTCAAGAGCTCCGAGGGAGATTTGAGCTGAAACTGTTATATGCAAACAATGAATCATGGGATGCTAGAGCAAAAAACTAATGATGTTCTGTATGGTGACTAAGATAACATAACATAAAAATTAATTAATTAATTAATTCGGGAGTCATCCAGGAAAAATGTATTGAAAGTAAGTAATAGAACACTGAGGAACACCAGGATTTTCAAAGCAAGAAGGAGAAAAAGGCCAGCGATGAGTGTGTAAGGTAGGCAGGACACGTTACTGTGTGAAATGGGAGATCACCTCAGGGAGAGAGAGTGTGTGAGGGAGTGATCAGCCCATGTTAAATGTTGCCAAGTTGTCAACCATGGAGACTAAGAAGCAGCCTTGGAAGGTCTGTTGTGATCTTTAGGGAAAGCAACAGATGGGGGTAGGAAGAGAGGAAGGGTAGAGACCAGGTTGTAATGGGTTGAGCAGTGAGAACAGAGGAGATGGTGATCGTTAAGCGCCCACAAGCCCTTGAAGCGAAGTTTCTCTGGATGAGAGAGTCCAGTAACCCAGGGGGTTATGAGGTCAGGGGAGGGCTTCTAGTGGGTTATGTGTTGTCCATTTTTCATTTCTGTTTTTTGAGACAGGAGGTATTTGAACATATTAAATGATGATGGATCAGAGCCCATGGAGAAGTAGAGTTGAAAATTCAAGAGAGAAGTAAAGTTCCCAGAGAAGATAGGAAATAGTGCACAGGTGGATGGATTGGTGGTGATTTCAGAAGAAAACAAAACAAAAACAAAATCCGTAAACAACCTACATGACCATCAATAAGGGCCTCTAATTATCTGAGTATATATCTCCTTATACTTTTGTCACTAAATTTGTGTCGTAGAATCTACTAATGGAACTGCTAGGTCAGAGGAAAATATTAAGAGACTTAATGTCAAATTAGATTCCTTAAATCACCAAATTAATTAATTTCCCCACCAACTGTTTAGGAGAGTGCCTGTTTTCTTGTATTATTATCCTATACCATTACCAATGTGGGCATTATCACTGACTTTAATCTTTGCCAATCTGACAAGCAAAAATATTATTTTTATTGTTGCTTTAATTCACATTTCTTTGATTTTGCATGATGTTGAATTTACTTCTCTGAATTTATTGGTCACTTAAATTTCTTTTTATTTTCCTGTGAACAATCTGTTCATACTCTTTGTTCATCTTTCTACATTTTTGTTCTTACTGCTTTATATGAGCTCTTTGTAAATTAAGGAAGTTAGCTAGTTGTATGGTGTCATGTGTTTAAATTTTGTGTCCTAAATTATTGTTTATCTTTTGAAAAATTAGGAGATGAATCTTAAAGGATGAATTGGACTTTATTGTGGGGGAGAAAAAGAGGAAAGATATTCTAGGTAGAAGGCTTTACTTATGAAGGATAGAGTTTTCTTATTATCTCATTGGGAAGCTTGTTTTACTTAGTGATGTTACATTGTTTTGAATTTTCTCTAGGTAGTCTAACCCTCAATTAACTAATTCTTTTGTACTTCGTTGTTGCTTAATTAATTCTGGTCAGTTTATTAGAAACAGTTTCTAGATGGCCAAAGAAAGCTTGTTGGGGCTTAAAATTGACCATATGAATTATTTCTCAGCCTTTTGACTAAGATAAAATACAGTATCTGTTCTTATCAGTTTAACAATTGACCATATACTACTTAAATTTTTAGTACACACACACACACACACACACACACACGTTAATACTTGTTGACATATTCAAGGCAAAGCCTAAGTGGTTAAAATATGGCTTTTATTTGTCTATTTATTTCTAGAAATGAAATCGATGGACCATGATAGTGGCCAGTTATGTGAACTTCAAAAACAAAAGAGTGAATTAGTACAAGAATTACTTACTGTGCAGAGAAAACTTAAAGGTATTATCTTTATGAGCTAGTTTTTTTTGCTGATGAATATAGTTACATATGCATAACAGGGTCATAACATTCTTTCAAAGTATACTCACCTATTAAGATACAGTGTTACTATTGGTATAAAGATGAAACAGGTAAAACACTAAAAAAAAAGTGTTAGATCTGATATTTTTAATGTCATAAATTTTGTCAAGATCTTTTTTTATGCCTGTAATCGCTATATTAAAGTAGAAAACTAAGAATCATGAGTGCATATGTTTTATATAAAACACCAAAAATTAGAGTATTGTTCTTATGAATGAACTCTTCTGTTTATTTTTTTAAAAGATTGTAAGCGTTTTCTTAATTGTTTAGTTTTTGAAGATAAAAAGATTGAAGCCATTTGTACTACCAAATACCTAGAGGCAGAAAAAGTAAAGATCAATGAAAAGCCTCAAAATGATGCTGAGTGCTTAAGGTAAGAATTCCCTATTGTATTTTGATATAAAATCTGGTAGTTTTTCAAGTTGTCAAAGAGATTTCAGCATAAAGCTAAATGTGTAGGTTTTTTTTTTAAGTTCCAGGTAAAGATATTAATTCCTTTTATGTGTATTGTGAAGTATGCTAATGAGAAAAGGCTTTACTGGTACATGTAAGTTTCACAGTATATTAGGTTGATAATACTGAAATCAATTTTTTCTTTTACCTCATGGACTTAGTGTTATTCACATCCCAGTAGATTAAAACAAAGTATTAGTTCCAAAACTCTCCTTTCTGTTATTCCTAACTTTTTTTTTGAAGATTGATTGATTGATTGATTGATTAAAGAGCACAAGAGAGAGTACACAGAGGGAAAGGGAGAGAGAGAAGCAGACTGTCTCTAGACCAGTGAGCCTGATGTGGGGCTGGATCTCAGGACCCTGGGATCATGACCTGAGCCAAAGGCAGACACTTAACCAACTGAGCCACCCAGGCACCCCTTAATTTTTTTTTTATTGATTGAAATTATTTTTTATCGTTTTAAATTTGAGGGGAGAAAATCACAACCTACTATTTTACTTGAAATTTATTACTATTTGTTTTATGGTGAAAGAATGAAATGTATTTTCTGTATGGAATATTGAGCTACTTTTTATGTATTTGGATAATGAAAGAATGGCTGGTGTTTGAAACAGCATAGTCATACACACAAGGATAAACCTTCAGTTTGTTAATTTTACTATTGTTTATTAATAATTCAATGTTATATTTGCCAGCCTAATTTCAAAGAAGTTCATCTACTTTCCGGGCTAAATATAAGGAAAGAAACCTCATTACTGAATCTATGAGAAGCAAATGAAGCCTTCTTTTACATAAATCATATAGAAATATGTCCACTAGAGCTGAACAAATGCTTCATATTAACTGTGTATTGCCTTAGGCCATAATTTTAGTAGATTGTGAGAAAATATTTGCAATTTAATTTTATGTTAAGTTTTATAAGCATGAAATATCAATCTCTTGGGTGATATGTGTGATGCAGGATGAGTTTCTGTAATGACAATCTGCTCATTGATTTTTTTACATTTTCAAAAATGATAATGCCCACTGGTGTCATGATGGTTAGTATTATAAGCGCTTCTGACATGAACTCCAGTTTTGTGGGTTTATCAATCATAAAAATCTGCCCTGGGTTAAAATTAAACACACAGAGTCTGTTAGAGAGTGTTTTTTCCTTCACAGATGGTGACAGAAGAAATGTGAATAAAAAGAAACATTAGTCTTTATGCATTGTCCATTTTTTTGCATTTTAGCACTTATCGAATGAAATGGCAATATTTACCAGTTCCCACTTTAAATCATTTAATATGTGTAGTTTAGTTTGCTTACTGGTATGTTCCATAAAAGTAATTTCAAGTATAAAGAAGTCAAAGTATTGAAATAAAGATTTTAGGAAATAGGGCCATAAACCTTATAATTAGTGCAAAAACAAGAAGCTAATAATGGCAAAACATTTATTAATATCATGAAGGCCAAAATTAAGTTGGTTTTATCCCTAAATTTTGGAATATTCTTTTCCATCTGTGTGTTCAAATGTATACTGAATTCTGTTGCCTTTTTCTTAAATTTTCAGGTTTAATTACTCTTGGTATAGATGCCATTTTTATAGCAGGGTTTCTCAAACTTGGCAGTGGGGCCAGGTTATTCTTGGTTGCGAGAGGACAGCCCTGTGCAATTTAAGACTGGCCTCGACCCACTAGATGCCAGCAGTATCTCCCACCCTCAGCTTTGACAACCAAAAATGTCTCCAGACATTGCCAAACGTCCCCTGGACAGAGAGGGGTGAGAAAAATTGTCCCCAGTTGAGAACCAGTTTTATTTTAAGGTTATTATAATTGTACTTCTACTTTTATTAAACTTTAACCAGTTAAGAAAGCAATTATAAAATTAATATTAACTTGTTTATATGCATTTATTGTTTCTACTTTTAGTAATTAGAAAATTTTACACATGTTTTATACTGTCTATATCATTGGAATTCTTTCGTAATGATTTTTTTTAATTAATCTGCCATGTTCAGATTATTTGTTGGACTCTGTCTTGATGCCGTTCTTTAGTATAAAAAACTAGTACTCTTTTTTTTTTTAAGATTTTTTTTTTAATTTATTTGACAGAGAGAGAGAGAGATCACAAGTAGAGAGAGAGAGAGGAGGAAGCAGGCTCCCTGTCTAGCAGAGAGCCCAATGTGGGACTCGATCCCAGGACCCTGAGATCATGACCTGAGCTGAAGGCAGAGGCTTAACCCACTGAGCCACCCAGGCAGCCCCAAGAACTAGTACTCTTATTCACAGTGGTTTCATGGTCTCTCCTTTAGGTAATCATTTCCTGTTTATAAATACCAAGATGCTTATTTATTTAAAAGATTCTATTTTGAAGAGTGTGGGATCATTAATTAAATATGTTAAGGCAGCTAACTTGTAGAATATTGCTATGATTAAGTCGACCTTAAGTCGAAGGTTGGGTTAAATTCATAAGAAGCTCCTGGAAGACTGTATAACTATGACTGATCTAGTTCTTTCATATAGTTCAGAGAGGATAGAAAAGATAAACCTTGGGTTCTTGAGAGGCAGTAAGCATAGAGGTTAAGATTACAACCCCCTTAAATCCCAGCTCTGCTATTTACTAGGTTAGTAACCTTGGACAAGCAATTTAACTTGTCTGTCCTCAGTCTCCACATCTATAAAATGAGGATCATTATAGCACCTACCTCACAAAATTATAGTAAAAATTAAATGACTTAAAAGCCGTTAGAACAGTGCTTAGAACATAGTAAATGCTCTAAAATTAGATACAATTATAATTATGTAATTACTTATAATTACATTTTTATTTCATATTATCCATGAGGATTTCATGACTTTCAAGCTTTTTTCTCATTTTTTTCTCTTAATTTCTCCCCATTGAGAATGATACTCACTGTGGGCTTTTTGTCAATAGCTTTTATGATATTGAGGTGTGTTCCCTTTATCCCTACACTGTGAAGAGTTTTAATCAAGAATTGGGATGTGTACTTTGTCAAATGCTTTTTTTTGCATTTATTAGGAGTATCACGTGGTTCTTGTCCTTTCTTTTATTAATGTAGCATATCACATTGAGTGATTTGCTGATAAATCCCACCCTTGCAGCCCCAGAATAAATCCTACTTGGACATGGTGAATAATTCTTTTAATATACTCTTGGTTCCTATTGGCTAGTATCCTGGTGAGAATTTTTTGCATTTGTGTTCATCAGGGATATTGATTTGAAATTCTCCTTTTTGGTGGGATCTTTGTCTGGTTTGGGGTTCAAGGTAATGCTAGCCTCGTAGAAAGAGTTTGGAAGTTTTCCTTCTTTTTTTTTGAAACAACTTCAGAAGAATATGTATTAATTTTTCTTTAAATGTTTGATAGAATTCCCCTGGGAAGCCATCTGGCCATGGACTCTTGGTTATTGGGAGATTTCTTTATTACTGCTTCAATTTCCTTGCTGGTTATGGGTCTGTTCAGGTTTACTATTTCTTCCTGTTTCAGTTTTGATAATTTCTGTGTCTCTAGGAATGCATCCATTTCTTCCAGATTGACCCATTTCTTGGCCTATAGTTATACATAATATGTTTTTAAAATTGTTTGTATTTCTTCAATGTTTGTTGTGATCTCTCTTCTTTCATTCATAGTTTTGTTTATCTGGTTCCTTTCTCTTTTCTTTTTGATGAGTCTGTTCAGGGGTTTAATGATCTTATTAATTCTTTCAAAGAACAAGCTCCTAGTTTCACTGATCTCTTCTACTGTTCTTTTGGTTTCTATTTCATTGACTTCTGCTCTTTTTATTAATTCTCTTCTCATGCTGGATTTAGGCTTTATTTGCTATTCTTTTTCTAGCTCCTTTAGGTATAAAGTTAGGTTGTATATTTGAGACCTTTCTTGTTTCTTGAAAAAGTCTTTTATTACTATATACTTCCCTCTGAGGAGTGCCTATGCTACATCCCAAAGGTTTTGAACAGTTGTGTTTTTATTTTCCTTTGTTTCCATGAATTATTTTAATTCTTCCTTAATTTCCTGGTTGACCATTTATTCTTAGTAGGATTCTCTTTAACCTCCGTGTATTTGACTTCTTTCCAAATTTCCTCTTGTGATTGAGTTCAAGTCTCAAAGCGTTGCGGTCTGAAAATGTGCAGGGAATGATCCCAAACTTTTTTAGGGTTTTTTTTTGTGTTATTTTTTTTAATCCCAAAATTTGATACCAGTTGAGACCTGATTTGTGATCGGTATGTGATCTAATCTAGAGAATGTTCCATGTACCCATGAAAAGAGTGTGTATTCTGTTGCCTTAGGATGGAATGTTCTGAATATATCTGTGAAGTCCATGTAGTCCGTTGTGTCATCAAAGACCTTGTTTCCTTGTTGATCTTCTGCTTAGATGATCTGTTCATTGCAGGGAGTGGGGTGTTAAAGTCCCCTAATATTATTGTATTATTATCAATGTGTTTGTTTAATTTTGTTATTAATTGGTTTATATAATTGGTTGCTCTGATGTTAGGGAGCAGTGGTTAGATCTTGTTGGATTATGATATAATCACTTTAGTTATGATACAGTATCCTTTCTCATCTCTTATTTCAGTCTTTGGTTTGAAATCTAATTCCAGCTTTCTTTTAATGTCCATGAGCATGATAAATTGTTTTCTACCCCCATCACTTCAGTCTGGAAGTGTCTTTGGGTCTAAAATGAGTCTCTTGCAGACAGCATATCAATGGGCTTCCTTTTTTATTCTCCTCATACCCTGTGTCTTTTGATTGGGGCATTTAGCCCATTTACATTCAGAGTAACTGTTTGAAAGATAGAAATTTAGTGACATTGTTTTACCTATAAATTCACTGGTTCTTGGGGCGCCTGGGTGGCTCAGTGGATTAAAGCCTCTGCCTTCAGCTCAGGGCATGATCTCAGGGTCCTGGGATCGAGCCC